ATTGGGACGGGATGCGGTCTTTTTTTGCATCCTACCCTTGGGGGTTTGCTTCTCTCCGGAAGATACCAACATTGTTGCCGATTCTGTTGTTGATGTGGTACTTAAGGGTATGGAACTTTTTATTCCATCCTTTGTGGTGCCCATCGGAGGCAGATTTGGTCGCTCCTGTAAAATAGCATCACGCTATAAGCAGGAGTGCTACCGGGCCTGGGCTGACGCATCAACGTCTCGGGATGTAAACACCAGCGCACTTAAAAAGAAGTATAATTCCTCCTCCAGGTCCTTCAAAAGCGTCATTGCCAAGGCAAGGTCTGAGCACATCGGCAGAATTGGCGAGAAGCTTGTTCGCCTTCCTTCGGGAACCCGTGTATTCTGGTCTCTCGCCAAGGCTGTCCAAGGGAACTTCTGTCAGCCATCTCTTCCATCTCTGCACAGAGAGGACGACTCACTGGCCCATGCCGCAAAGGAGAAAGCCGATCTGTTGAGCTCTCTTTTTGCTTCCAACTCGACTCTAGATGACGGGGGGAACACACCGCCGACCATCCCGCGATGTGAGTGCTCCATGCCGGATGTGCGGTTTACACAGCGCTCGGTTCACAAAGCACTCTTCTCCCTGGACGTCAGCAAGTCGAGTGGGCCCGATGGAGTCCCTCCCATTGTGCTGAAGACGTGTGCTCCGGAGTTGGCACCGGTTTTAACGCGTCTTTTCCAGTACTCCTACTCCCAAGGCGTAGTCCCGAATTCATGTAAGACAGCTTTGGTCCACCCGATCCCTAAAAAAGGCGACCGCTCAGACCCGTCCAACTTCAGGCCTATTGCAATCACCTCCTTGTTCTCCAAAATAATGGAATCCATTATAAACTGCCAGCTCATGAGGTACCTTGAGGCTCACTAGCTGATTAGTGACCGCCAGTACGGTTTTCGTCGAGGTCGATCAGCTGGTGATCTTCTAGTCTATCTGACTCATAGATGGGCGGAGGCAGTAGAGTCCAAGGGGGAGGCATTGGCCGTTAGTTTGGACATAGTAAAGGCCTTCGATCGGGTCTGGCACAAAGCGCTTCTTTTGAAGCTTCCTTCCTGTGTGCTTCCCGAGAAATTGTGCAAATGGATCAGCAGTTTCCTAGCTGATCGGAGCATCAAGGTCGCAGTAGACGGTGCATGCTCTGATTTCAAGCCTATCAACGCTGGTGTTCCACAAGGCTGCGTGCTATCACCAACGCTGTTTCTCCTGCATATCAATGATATGTTGCTAACTAGTAGCATTCATTGCTATGCAGACGACAGCACTGGTGATCCCTTATATACCGGCCGTGCCAATATTTCTCGGGAAAACGTCGTTGAGTACCGGGACAAACTTGTGTCTGAAGTCGAGTCTTTGCTTAACAAAGTCTCGGATTGGGGCCGACTAAATCTAGTTCAGTTCAATCCCCAGAAGACACAAGTTTGCTCGTTTACCGCTAAAAAGAACCCCTTTATCGTATCTCCTCAGTTTCAAGGCACTCCCCTTGCTGCCTCAACTAGTTTCGGAATCCTTGGCGTCGACATATCGAATAATGTGCAGTTTCGTGGTCACTTGGAAGGGAAGGCCAAATTGGCCTCTAAAAAGCTTGGCGTGCTCAGCAGAGTGAGACAGTATTTCATGCCGGCACATCGCTTGCAACTTTACAAAGCGCAAGTTCGGCCCCACATGGTATACTGTTCTCATCTCTGGGCCGGGGCACCCCAGTGCCAGCTCCTTCCACTTGACCGCATCCAGCGCAGAGCGGTTCGAATCGTCGACGACCAAATTCTTTCTGATCGGCTCGATACACTGGCACTGCGTAGGGATGTTGCATCTCTACGCGTATTTTATCGCATCTATCACGGGAGTGCTCTGAGGAGTTGTTCGGATTAATTCCAGCCGCTCAATTTCACCATCGCACATTGCGACAAAACTCGCGTTACCATCCATACCATCTGGATGATTGGCGGTCCACCACTGTGCGACTTAGAAGAAGTTTTCTCCCTCGCACAACTTCCTTGTGGAATCAATTACCACCAGCGAATTTTCCGGACCGATACGACATAGGAACCTTCAAGAAAAGAGCTTACACGTTTCTAAAAGGCCGGCAACGCATTTGCAATTCCCCTTGTGTTGCGGTTGTTCATGGGCGGCGGTAGTCACTTCCACCACCACCATCAGGTGAGCCGCATGCTCGTTTGCCCCCTCTTCTATAAAAAAAAAAATATTTGCGGGAAAGCCAACAATTACAATTTTATATTTGAGAAAATACTAATAACATTGATAAACACATTATAAATGATGAACAAAACAGAAAGAAACACATGATAAGCAGGTTAGCGAATATATGAATATTTTTGCGATTAGAAACAGTGTAACAACAACGAGTGTGAACATGAAAATCGAACGGGAAATAGTACTAGAAAATGAGAATAAGTGAACAAAAGGAGGAAAGTGAGAATAAGTGAATAAGAAGGAGGGTTTAGAAGATAATTAGATTAACATAAAATGAAAGAATTGTACCCCTGAGCCGTGGTAGCTCAGGGGCTAGGTGCTCGCTGTAAATTTTACCGTACGCAACTTGGATTCGATCCTCGCCGGCACTAATGAAATTGTTAATTAAAATTTTAAGTGCTGTCTAAAAAAAAATCGAAGGCATGTGAAGTTCGCATTGGGGCAGCGCGGCGGACTTTTATTTTCCCTAAAACCCTCTCAGAAATGAGAGGAGTCCTGTGCCCAGCAGCGGAACTTTAACTTACAGGCTGCAACTTTAACTTTATCTTTAAAGGAATTGTAAACTACAAATAGAAGTATTGGTATAGTAAAACAACCAGATTATTTAAATTGGCAACATACTAATTACCTAGTATTTGTCTAATTGCAAATTTAACTGATCCAATTAAATGTGAATAAATGGTAAGAAATGAGCGATTGTTAAAAGAAAAGGGAATTTTACTCAATAATGATGGTCATTGATTTTTTGTAAATATTATATTCAATTGCTTTCGTTTGGGAAATTTACAACCTCACAAATGAACCTCGTGGCTGACTTGTGAAAAAAAATTGATAATGACGAAGCGAAGGCGAAAGTGGAGGGGATCTTTATTACAGAACGACAAACAGTGAGGAGTATCTATAACACCAACCGATACGTAATAAGAGGCCTGCGTTTAAGCTGCATCATATTACTAAATCGTCATAGAAAGGAGGAAAGTTTTAGTCGAATATCCAATACGACAAATACGACAATCACATGCATTAATCACAGTTGTTAAACCTAGGTGCATACAGTTTCAAAAACAATCAAAAAAATTGGACAGAAGAAGCGTATTATATCTTTGGAGGTCCCCTTTTTGTGTTATTCACTATATCCTCTTGCCATCTGGTGCGACAGTAATTCTTGAATGTTAGTTACTCAATCAACTCAGATTGGTGAACTGTTCTTCGCCATTACTTCTTCAAGGCAATTCTTCAAGGCGAATACTGGTGGCCCGCCGACAGCAACAATAATACTCTCGTACATTCGAAAAATATTGAATTATATTCCAGAATAAAACCAAAAAAAATATGTTCGAAAAGTAATTTGAATCTCGCGCGCGCGCTCTTAAGTGCGCTTATCGGTGCGCCGTGCATGCGTCGGTAACAGCGGTCGGTAATTTTCGTGCTGATCTCGGTTAAATTCGTTTTCTTGAGGAACCGCCGCGGCCGGCGGCGCGGCGACAACGGCAGCGCGGTGGCGTCTTATCCACGGGTTATATTGTTAGAGCATGCGAGATAGCAATAGTCCCGAATTCCCGATTGCTCGCGTAGGTAGATACACGAAGCTTCCAGAGTCGGTTTCGTGATTTCTCCAGACAGTTTACGACTCTATACGCGCGGTATAAAAGCCACGCTAACCGCAGCGACCGACAGTTCGGTTTTAATTTGAGTGAAGTGTCAATAGTTCTCGTGTAGATTTTTACTCGACTAGCCAGGTGTCATATATTTTGATCCACATTCAACGTAGATTTCCCGTCAAGTGACGTGTATAATTGTATAAAACTATTTTTACGGATTTTATCGCGTTTAATTTACTTATTTTATATTCCCGACGTTTCGGTTGCTTTCCAGCAACCGTGGTCACGGGGGACTGAGGTGATTGACGTCCCGATGTCAAAGTTAACCCGGAGTACCTTCAGCTTTTTAATTATTAATTTTGGTCCGATCTACGCAGAATGAACTAACTGTGTCTTGAAGTCTTACAGTGGTATGCTTGGGTTTAGTTTTAATTTTATGAATTACAGGATCCCAAGCAGGTGGTAGTACCCAGCCTCCCTCTCTATTGAAATTAGGATGTTTTTTAATTTCAATAGCCTCACGTATCATCTATATAATCCGTAAAAATAGTTTTATTCAATGTGTAGTGTTCGCGTAAATATAAGAAATCATTGTGTATAATTGTGTTGTGAAATTGTAAGTAAAACTCTGTTATTAATAAGTGTTTCCCTACCTATTTAATCAAATATTTTTGAGAATTTGAAAAAGGATGGGTAATTTAAGTAGGTACTGTAATAGTTTTTAGGTGCTGTGTTAATCCTAGCCAGGATTAGAACACAACATGGACAAGCCAGGACCTAGTAAAAAACGTAAAGTTAAAGATGAAAATCGGCAATTTCAAGAAATTTGGACTGAGAAATACTTTTTGGTATGGTCGCACAACAAAGTCGTTTGTTTAATTTGCAAGAATTCTGTTGCGATTGCAAAGGAATATAATGTAAAAAGGCACTATGAAACGCAGCATCCTACTTTTACCAAGTTTACAGGTGAATTAAGAAAGCAAAAAATGTTGTCTTTAAAACGGGAGCTTATTGGTCAGTAAGCTATGCTTACAAAACCCACTCAAGATTCAGAAACAGCTACAGAAGTTAGTTATGAAATTTCTCGAATGATAGCAAAGCGAAGTCACCCCTTCAATGATGGGGATTTTGTAAAATAATGCATAGAAATTGCCGCTAAGAAAATGTGTCCAGAAGCAGCAAAAAAGTTTGAGAAAATTCAACTGAATCGTATGACTATCCAAAGACGAATTATGTCTTTGTCAGGTAATATTGCGGAACAATTAAATGAAAAAACTAAGTTCATTGAATTTTTTTCATTAGCACTCGACGAATCCACTGATATTAGTTCCACAGCTCAACTTCTGATATTCATACGAGGTGTTACTCAAGATTTTGAAGTCGTAGAAGAGTTATTAGGAATGTGTTCATTGAAAGGTCAAACCAGAGGAGTTGATATACTCAATGTACTTTTGGATGAGTGTTCAAAAACTGATTTGGACATATCAAAATTATCGGGAGTTGCGACTGACGGTGCTCCTTCGATGATTGGTGTCAATTCTGGGCTAGTTACTTTGCTGAAAAAGCATCTGCAAGAAAAAAACATAAACGCTGAAGATCTCATGAAGTTTCACTGCATTATACACCAAGAAGCCCTCTGTTCTAAAAAAATTGAATTTCAAAATGTCATTAAAGTGGTAGTTTCGACTGTAAATTTCATAAAATCACGAGGACTCAATCACAGGCAATTCAAACAATTCCTTGATGACATCGAAAGCGAATATGGAGATTTACTGTATTATACAGAAGTAAGGTGGCTAAGTCGTGGATTGACACTGGAACGATTTCTAAATTTATTAGAAAAAATTGGAATATTTCTGGCGAAAAAGCAAAGGGATGTCCCGGAACTTAAAAATACTGATTGGTTGTGTGATTTGGCTTTTTTAGTTGATATTACAAATCATTTGAATGTCTTGAACACACGGCTTCAAGGCAAAAATCAACTGATATCCCAGCTCTACGCTAATGTATCATCCTTTTAATGCAAGATGATACTTTTCAGATCGCAATTGAATTCTTGAAATTACAATAATTTTCCGAATTATAAGAAAATGGCTGAAAAATTCAACAAAACTGCGATTAATTTCAGTTATGTAGAAAAACTAGATATTTTGATTCAATATTTTCAAGACAGATTTTCGGAGTTTAAAAAAGTGAAACCTCTGTTGGACATATTCAGCAATGCTTTCACGATTTCAGTTGAAAATGCGCCAGAGTCAATGCAGTTAGAAATTATCGACATTCAAAACGACCAAGATTTACGCAACAAATTCAACGAAGGAGACTTGCTGGAATTTTACCGCTGCATTGATAAAAATACGTACAAAGAGTTGCGCATAAACGCTCTGAAATGTGCCAGCTTATTTGGTTCTACCTATATATGTGAACAAACCTTTTCAATACTAAAGAATAATAAAACAAAAAATCGAAACCGCCTTGCAAATGAAAGTTTGAAAGCAGTTTTACGTGTTACTACAAGTAAATTTGAGCCAAATATAAAAAAGATTGTAAGCACTATGCAGTGCCACGCTTCAAATTAATAAGTTCTTTTTAAATTTTGATACATTATTATCAATTCTTTATTGTCTTTAACTACCTATACTTCTGGCGGCCCGCCATCAGTTCATAATTTGCCCGAGTAGCCCCTAGTCTTAACGAGTTGAATGTAAATTCAAGAAAAACAACTTCCTTCTGCGTGAATCCCATATCTCTGGTGTCCTTTGACCTACAGGAACTCCTAAACTCGACCGAGCTACTACCGCAAGGTATCCACATACCAAATTTAAAGTCAATCGGTCCAGTGGAACGGAAGTTATCGTGTCGGCATACATACTAACAGACTGCCAGCTAAAACCATTAACTTCCTTTCAATGCTACGCAGAAGGAAGTTAATAAGTATGTGCATCACTGTTTTACGTATTGCATCATCGATAATAAATAATTAATAGACATTTCGTTACCTTTTCTTACATTCATACCGTGTGAGTGTTGTAGTAATCTATATGGTAGCTGGAAATATTGCTGAGGTGAAAGCAATACGAAAATTATATATAAAAAAAAAATTTTGGACACTCGTGTTGCAAAGACCCAAGAAGTTACAAGGCGTAGAATTTTATGATAATAAATTAAGTCCACAACTAGCACAAAAGACCCATTTCTACTTCATAAGATGTGACGAGGGTTGTCACTAACAATGAAATGTGTTATGTAACTAAGTAGATTTTATAACAAAACGAAAGATACGAGGGGTCGAAACGATAAATGAACAGTGTAGGCAAAAAGCTCTTTGCATTCAGAAGCGACGAAGGTAAAGTTGTCAAAATTTTCATGATTCAAAATAGAGTTTAGCTGGTTACTACTACTATAGATTAATTTTTATTCATTATAGACTACAAGAATACTTACAAAAGTTACTTATTATATTCTTTCGTTTATTTATATAAATTATTTATGTATTAATTCAAATAAAGTAAGGTATAATCCTTAGAATCCTTTCTAAGAAACGTCCACGTAATCTAGTCGTTGTATATGTCGGCGATACGCCAGGGTTTTCACGCTCGGAGTCCATCACAATGAAATAGCACGCCAAATATTAAGTAGTTTATTTTCGCACAATGGCGGGTACAGAACATAACAGTCTTTACAAAAATCAACCGCCCTTATAGTTTCCTTACAAACATGGATATAGCAAATACAACTTCTTTTAAATCAAACAAATAAAATTAAGTACTACAAAATAATTCTTAAAATAGAGCTCATTATTCATAACAAATATTTTAATAATTTAAATAAGTACAAATGATTTATATTATATAAATCTTTGTTCATTTAATTTAAATAGACATTAGTTTTTCATAGTCAGTCAAAATCCGGGCTCTAACACTGTTAAAAGGTGGCGCTGCAAGCAAGATTCAAGTGAAATTAAACAATACTTATTACATAAAATAATAAAATTTGATACAAAATAATGATATTAATTCTAATAGATATTAATTTGAACATTTACACAGTAAAATGAGTATTTTAACAATAAATGAAGCATCGTCTTCAAAATGTTCAAACAGTCAAAACAGTGTCTACTAAATATCAGAGCTTAATAAATAACGATTTTATGTTTATAAATAACTATATAAATTTAAATCTTACATATTTCAGATATGTCTATACTAATATATTCACTTAAACGATAAACTAAAACATAAATATCAAATTTGCCAATTATTGCCGATAGATGGCGATTTGCGCCCATATATCAATATTTGCTAATTATTGCCGATAGATGGCGATTTGCACCCATACGGCCATACTGACTCCAGCGCGTCCCTTGCGCTGTTTTTATGACATAATTTCAAACAAGGCATCACCCATACTAGGATCTAGCCAACACACAAAGCATCACCCATACTAGGATCTAGCCAACACACAAGACATCACCCATACTGGGATCTAGCCAACACACAAGGCATCACCCATACTGGGATCTAGCCAACACACAAGGCATCACCCATACCGGGATCTAGCCAACACACAAGCCATCACCCATCCTGGGATCTAGCCAACACACAAGGCATCACCCATCCTGGGATCTAGCCAACAAGACCAGGTTTAAAGGGATACGCATGGTGGCCAGCCAGCGGTTTAGGAAGGATATTGAATAGGAAAAATAAATTTCACGCACACACAATAATTACAAAAATAAATCATAAATCATATCAATTATCAACACAAATACAATCACATAGATCCAAGATTGTCCTCAAGGAAGTGGAAACACCCTCGGTCTCCACCTATTTCTCCGCCCATACGGTCAATTCGTCTGAGTTGTCAGAATCATTAAAAGGGTCTAAAAGGGAATGAACTATGGAAGCAGGACGCAAGGCATCCTGACTTGCAATCTTTTCTGAACAGCCACGAAGGTTAACGCGTTTAAGTCTATATCGATCATCTATACAAATAAATAAAATTGAAGTGTCTGTCTGTAATGTCAAAACAACATCTTTTTCCAAATGCATACGAAAGTGTTTACGGTATTTATAACAAAAAAAAAAAAACAATGTTTCAAATTTTTGTCTGTCTGTTCCGTCTAATCTCCGAAATGGCTGGACCGATATTAACGGAATTTTCACTTGTAGATAACTGATGTCAAAGAAGTAACTTAGGCTTCTTTTATTTAAGTAAAAGAATTAGGGTTCCGCCCAAAAAAAAAAAACCCATGAAATCCAATAGTAACGTGGGCAAAGTCGCGGGGAACAGCTAGTTTGGTAATATTTCTAAAATTTCTATTGAACCTTCAAATTTAGAGCCAAACTTGTGTCGTTCATGACGCCGCATTAAGACGAAGTCGCCGACTTTAAATAGGCGGATTTTGGCTTTATCTTTATCAAAACAAGTTTCAACATCAAGTGATCGCTCGTCCATCCATCCCCCAGTAATCAATCTAACCTCCTCTAAATCCTCTGTTAGTATGTCATTGCCAACCCGCAACACTAATGGCAGGGGGCGAACATCTCTTCCCTAATAATAATTCCATTGGACTCCATTCTGTACTTTTGGATATTGTGCAGTTTATAGCCAATTGTAACTTGGCAAAGCCACATGCCATGGCCCACCCAGTTCCACAACAGATATGCTACCCTCTACAACCTTCATCAATTGCTCAACCCAACCGCCGGCCCTACCAGCTCCCCCGCCACTACGTGGTGCTGAATCCCACAACATTAGCAAAAGTTTTCAAACTCTTGCTCCCATCTTGATCAGTAATTAATCGTGATGAGTCGAATATTGCAATCAAATTCCGAAAACATCAGACAGCAGCCTTACCAACACGGTCACTTGTACAAATCCTATGGACAGTTAGCAAAGCAGTCAATAAATACGAAAGCATATTCAGGCCCACTGCGCTCTCCATTCATTCCCCCAGTCATATCCTTACGAACGGTATGAAAAGGAACAGCCACTTTATATTTTAACATAGATTTAGAATATAGAAATTAATTAATGCCAAATTGTAAAGTAAGTATTGTATGTAAATTGTATTTCTTTATATAGTGCAATTTAATTTCTTATATATTAAGCCTTTAGGCACGAAAAATAATAAACAGGGCATGTTACCGTGACGCGGCCGCGGAGCGAATGAGGCTACGCGCGCCGCGCCACAACGTTTTATATTTATAGTACTGAGGCGGGGGGCAGGGTCCTCAGCTCAAAATTGCTGGAAAAACAACGTTTTAATCTTTAGTATATAGAAAAATTGTTATGTAAGTATTAGTTTAATAAGTAGTTGTAAGAATGTTATATATTTAAGTCTGTTTGTTAGTTTGTAAGAAATCTAACCAATAAAGAAAGGCGCGGGGGTGAGGCAAGGGTCCGCTGGCCAGCAATGGCCAAATCATATATAAGACGGGCCGGCCGGAACGGTCGGCCATTCCGCCTGTCGCACCGCTCTCGAGCGGTTGTATACAGGTAGTCCGCGCGCACTAACGTCCCTACGTTAGTGCCCCCTCCGTACCGCGCTTCGCGTTATTTAGTGGACGCTGAATAGCGTTGAAGTCCGGTAAGTGTTTTTCTCGCTAACTCTCAGATCTCACCCCCCCGCCTTCGGTCGGGGAGGTTGGCTGACCGCTTTTATTATATTGTAGAACACTAGATACTAGTGTATAAGTTTATTAGTTTATTTTATTAAATTATTTGTTTATTATATCCCGTGCTATTGTGTTTCTTAAATACGTTACTTGCTCTTTTCAGAGCAAGTACCTGCCGCTAGAAATCGACATGGAGTGCTCTCACTCCGACTCCGCGTCGTCAGTATCTGCCTCCCGGAAGAGGCCTGCTAAGAAGTCTAGCACCAGGACATCGGAGTCCTCTGACTCCAATGATATCGGTGACTCCAACAACACATCGTACACCACGGTTTCGTCAAAGCGCGCAGCGAAACGCGCCGCGAAAAACCATTGGTTGGTTGAGATACCCAATTATTTTAGTC